GGTCTGTTCCCAAGAACAGAGTCAGTTCTGTAAGAAAGCTTCTTTGTCCTCATGGGACTAGAAAGGGAGAGTAATTCAGAAGCCAATTTAGCGGGTAGTTACAACAGTTATTAGACAGGTCTGAAATTGACCCTTGTTTCATTTCACTTCCCTTCACACAAGCCTGCCTGCTTTTTAAAGAATCAACACCTGGTTAGTATGTCCGAGCCCGGTTGGTACAGGAAATATATCTTTTCCTGCTTTGGGGATTATAGTAGTGTACTCAAGGATGGGACTACTCGATCAAGAGTTTGTAAGGCAATCGAGCAGCAAGTATTACCCATTCAGAAGATATGGCAGTATTTAATGTCTCTAAAGTCCTTGCAAGATTGCCCAGTGATTGCTGCATATTTGTAGAAAACTATTAACTGAACTGGCCCTAGCTTAGAAACTAAACTATTTCAGTAACCCCCTGAACAGCATTTTAGTTACTGCTACTCTGGAACTTTAATCAAAGACTTCAGCTACCTTGCTTTACAAACAGTTTCTTGGTTGCAATGCTCAGGACTAAAAACCTGCAGACCCAGACTTTTATATTTGCTACCTCACTCTGCTGGAGTAGCAAACATGAATGTTAACAACCACAGATTTGTTCAAAGCTGTAAGTCTGCCTCTGAAGGAACCATGCCAGTGACAGCAAGTGATTTTCTGAGCACATTCTTGTTGCCTGCTCCCTTTCAGCAAAGAATTCCGTTTCATTTCAGCCACCTTACTCAACAGATTCTGTTTCCCAGAGACCCTCATGGAAACAGAGAGTTGCATTGAATGAACCTCTCCTAGTTAGCAGTTTATGGATTGAAGAAGACTTCAATCCCAGCTTGCAATCCTGTTTCATATGATATTAGCAATTGTAAGAATGAGTTTTTGCTCTTAATATTCAGCAGGGTTCAGTTCAGAGACAGAGGTTTAGTGATAATTCAGAAAAATCAGTGCCCTGGTATATTTTGCTCTTCACTGCTAAGCCTCTCTCTGCTTTCCTGCAATTTTAATATTAGCTTGCTCTGCTTGCTTCCCCAGCACCAAACTTCCCTCTCAGCACCAGCATCTTTCCCCAACCAGTCCTTCCCTCAGACACTAGTAGCCTCTGCTAATTTAGCAATCAGTCTGCAAGTGGCCTCTTTCCCCTATTTATAGAGCTAGGGAGGCACTGAATTACATTCCCCTGTGCTAATTCTGGATCACAAGGCTATGTCTACACTCGCGGGTTCTTGCACAAGAACACATCCATACGGCCATGTGCTTTTTCGCAAGAGCATCCATGGCAGTGTGGACGCTCTCTTGCACAAGAAAGCTCTGATGGCCATTTAAGCCATAGGGCTTTCTTGAGCAAGAAACTCCTGCCGTGTGTCCACACTTACATTTGTTAGAAAAGAGCGTAGCTCTTGCGCAAGACGCCTTCTCTTCCCACACTTTACTGTAAATCTTCTTGCACAAGAGCGGGTGGGCTGTGTGGACCATCTGCGGGTTCTTGCGCAAGAACAGCCATCAGGGGCGGCCCTAGACTAGCTGCCAGCAACTGGCACCCTAGGCTAACCATGCAATCGGCGCCTCCCCCCCCAACCCCAAGGGCAGATATAGACTGAGGTTTTTGGTTCTGTGGCTGGAGACAGGGGCTGGTGATGGAGTTCTGTGGCTTGGGACGGGGGGGCTGGGGATGGAGTTCTGTGGCTGGAGACGGGGGAGTGGGGGCAGGGGAGAGGGAACAGGGTGCCAGTGGAGGCAGAGAGTCCCCTGCACCCGCCTTCTCCCAGGATTCCCCACCCCACAGGGAAGC